AATACATGTAAGAAGCCATAAATCAGCAAACTAAAGTAACGGCTGGGAACACTATTAGGTTGTCTTGACAGTAACTCACAAGACAGGGAGACTTAGTGTGTCTTTGCAAAAGTGGTGCAGTGCTGGAAGAGCCCTTCTAGAAACTGTCACAGAATTCTGGTCCACATGCAAAAAGCCACACAAAAGCTGCTGTGGACAGCACAGAGTAGGGCTGTGTTTTTCTTTAAAACAGTCTAATTCCCCATCACTAAAACTGTGAGCCTTTCGTAAGGTTTACTGACAATCCAAAGAAAGAAACCAATATGATAGGGTTATTACTATGGGAAGAAGAAAAAGAAAATGCCCTTGAGATCTTTACTTTCCACGGTATTCAAGCCGCGTGGCATGCCAGCAAACTGAGCAGATACGCAAAACTGCAGCTGCTCTAATAAACATAAATCCCAGGTATTAGCTTCTATCTTTGGCTAAATTATTTAATTGTTCATGTGCCTTGATGTGTTTAGGGAGAGAACTGAAAACATGTCTGGAATATGCAGCTGGTATACTGTGGTTCTTACATCCCACGTCCAAAAATTTCTTTCCCTGATTAAAAAATTAAGGTCAGAAAGCACAGAATGACACATGCATTCATTCTGGGGCAAGCATATTCAGACCAAAATGGGAATTCAGATTAGCAATGACAATTGTTTTCACAATTGCCTTTCCTATTAAAAGAAAAATGTTATTTAACATTTTAAGTGTTATAAACAGCCCCAAAGAAATACATGAATGCAGTTTCATTTACAAAGACTGATTTATTCAGTGTTTCTCTTCATAGTTTGGAATGAGATTAAAATAACTGACCTCTTTAGATGCCCATGAAAATCTCTTGTGATCTCTCAGAACCAGGCTAGGACCTGATTCTTCTAAATTGGAGGCAAAAGGTAGCAGCTCAGTAGACACAGCCACAGATGCAATCTATAAACCCAGAACAGCATATAGCATAGCTATTTCCATCTTGGGCAACTTCATCTTCTATTTGAAAATACTCACAGTATTCATCTGCATATGAGCATTGAATACTTCTGAAGCCATTAATATACTAAAAACTATTGTCAGCTCTCCAGAATCAGAGGAAGACTCTATTATGATACCCAGGCTAATGGAAAAAAGACAGAATGGATACTGAGGAACAGAATCAGGATAGGTATCACCCTATTTTTTTTCAAAAGGGTCCAGCTAAGACCTAGTAGGGCTGGTACCACACGAGAGCTAGAAAGCCCCAGCAAACCAGCCTAATGCTTATACAGCTCAGTGGTCCGTGGGCTCGGTAGTGTGTTAAGCAGAGCGAGATGCAGGGATGCTTGCCCTAGATCTGTATGCAGGCAAGTCAGGTCCAGCACAATTACTACTGTACGCCATGTGAAAGCAACTACGGTGCTTCCCGACACATTGACGGAGGAAGCAATACGGATACACCCATGGTCCTGCGCCTGAACCTCAACTGTCCAATGTAAAGCCACTACATATGTCTCTACACTGACTTTACAATCCACCTACAGTGCCAATAAAAGACCCATGGATACCTGAGAGCTGTCTACATTCAGCAAAATCTTTCCAGGAACTCCATAAGGCAGTAACTAAATGAATATTCCATTCCAGCTATTTGCATTAAAACCAAATTACTTTTAAGAATGGTTACTTTTCTGAAATTAGTAAAATGTAAATTATTTCAGGACAGAAGATACAGAATATAGTCTAACACTTCTGAAAAGAAAGTAACAAGTAATATGAGATAAAGAAAAAAAATCCCCTTTTAACATCTCTTCAAATAATTTAAAAAAATACTATGGGGTACATTTCAATAGTCTAAGGTACCCAATGCATTCTTGAAATGTTCATTGAGTCTGTCAGTGGTTCTGGGAATTAGGTGTTGTTATAAACACCCCCATTTACAAAGAAGGAAATAGAAGCACATAAAGATTAAACACCTGATACAAAGCCATTGCAGTCACTGGAAAAGAATTCAGCAGGCATTGGATGAGAGCCTAAGTGATTGCTCAAGGCTGTAAGGAAGTCCATGGCACAGCTTTCAATACAGATCTTTTGTTCCCAGGCTATTGCAATATTCACTTCTTTTCTAGTCAAGTAGAATTGTCTGTGATTAACATAGGGTGTTTAATGACGCCAGGAGGCCCCTGCATCGGTCCCATCTCATTTGACAACATTTACAGGGGTTCTGTCCTATGGAATACACATTACAACATTAACCTTCAGTTTAGTGTGAGCTGCTAAAAATCTGCTAGGTCCCACCAATGTTATGTTTCAAGTAGAGTATTTGCCAAGGTCAAAAGGCAACAGGGAGCATTTATTCAGGAACCATAAGCACATCTCAGGCTTCAGAATGCTATTTTCATTGTAGAACTTACTATAGTATTATTTGGTAACATTGCTAAAACTGACCAGAAGCAAATATAAATCCATTAAAAATCTGTAGAGAAAGTTGAGACTGGGCCACACTTATTTAATAGGGTTTCCAGAAAAGCTGCTGAAGGAATTCCCCAGAACTGCTACTGCCTACTCAGGTCTACAGAGTCCTTCTGGGAGAGCAGATCCATGGGGCTCCACAGAGACCCACTGATGCACCCTGCAGTCCAGACAAGTGCAAGTCTGCTGCCCACCAGCTATGGAGGAGACAGAGCTTGTCTAGTTCCCGGGACCACCAGATGTCCAACATTGCCTTCTGGTATACAAGTAGGCAGTCGCTTCTGATTTCATCAAAAGCAGGGAATATAATTAATAAGGTAAGAATTTATCCCTATGTATGTACAGAATTAATGCCTTCAATATAGACTATGAGAAAATCTAGGACAGAAAAATGTTAAATATTAACATTAACAGAAAATATTAAATTACAAGAAAGACTATGCTTCTAATGGTATGCAAAACAGCTTATATATTTGAGAAAAGCCAAACATTCACTGCAAGGAAGAGTTTTTAGAATTGCCCTCTTTCTTCATGAAAAAGAGTATACAGGTTTATTTAACCTGGTCAAATAACTTTAACAAACACCTCATCACATCTATTCCCTTTCAGATTGTGTTTTAGCAGTGTATTATTTGCATCAAGCATGGAGAATTCTGAACCTGGAAAAGCCTTCTTTCCCTTCAATATCACACTCCCTCAAGAGTATACCATTATTTAAAATTTTATTCCTTCAATGTATTTTTTTTAAAAAAGCACCCTCACAATCTGACATGTAAAACATCCAGAAAATAATCTTTCAGTGACAATGTTCCCAAAAGGAATCCAACTTCAACTAAAATTTGAATAATGTGAGCGGGAAGGAGCTGGAAAAGTACATTAATGAATAATTGTTCAATTCATGTGACAGGGATCATCCTCCACTAGAAATGACAGTTGCACTGGAATGATAAAACTGCAGAGCAGACTGTAAAATAGTGATATTCACTGGCCAAGGTCAGCATGCAGGATACATTTTTAACTTGAACATAAAAAGTCTTCAATCCATTTTCCTACCTAGCATCCTTCACATAACACATCAATATGACCTATCTGTTCCGTCTTTTTGATTCAAAGCCTTTGTACAAGGAGTCATAAACAATGAAAAGTGGCCTGATTTGCAGTGATAATAAGGAAAATCCAAATTCCCAATGAAATCAAGATGGAATCACCCTGATAAACTGCTTAGCACCAGAGTAGGCTGGAAGACAAGAATTTCTATTTGCAAAAATATTCAAAGGTTTTCTCCCATATAAGTCATCTGCTTAGAAGACCACATTCAGTCCCCTGCTCTAGCCAATTTGGGGTCCTTGTCACTTGGCTACACACAGTCAAGCTGACCAAATAAATGCGTTTTCAAGGAAATCCCCACTCCAGAACTGCCAATTTCTGGTTGGTGAGGGCAGTCAGTAACAGGGGAGGCAATCAAGTTTCTGCCCTGAGCCATGCATAGAAATTACTGAGATTTTTTTCTACCAGCTCAACATGTCTGAATTTAAGAAGCTGGGCATCAGATAGTTTACAGGGACTTTGGGCTTTGTGCTCCTCTAAAATACTTCCGTTGGACATATATCTGAGAGAAAGTGTTTTTAAAATTGAATATGTAGAGAAGGAAAGTACTTATAGAAGAAAGTTTTGTCTTTGACATCAAAGAGTATAAATCCTAGTACTGGCAGAGTAACAGTTCTCCACAGTAAAATATCAGATTTGAGGATTCATCATGCTAGGAACAATGAAAGAATTTAACCCAACTTGTCTATTCAGGCCAGCTCCTGCAGATTTACTAAGGCATGAGGGGTCATGAGCCTCCAGACCTCTCACTGACACCTTTTTCCTATATTTTGGCCTCTCACTGTGGCACAAATAACTATGCTTTCCTTCTAGCTGCTCTAAACAGGCAACATTTAGAGTGCGGCTGTATCAGCCCAGAGGGTATGATAACATCCAATAGTTAGGTGGAAGAAGAGACATACAGGAAGTGAAACTCTTAAAAGGCATATTCTGAAAAAGGAATAATAAAGCGAGACTGCAGAGCTCTGGCAAACATGCAGTAGCTAACTAAAATCAGATGACTGAAACTACCAAATTTCTGCCCATCCTCTCTATCCATCTGATAGCTGATCCTGACATAGCACAACAGTATCTGATCGAGTCAATCAGCTTCACAGCATGCCTGCTGCCAAATTCATGACAAGCCTCCAAATGTAAGAGGAGACAACAACAAAAAAAAAGCCATTTGCCCAGGTAATATAGCAAGCTAGAGTCAGCAAGCTAGTACATAAGAATCACAATATGCCAAAAACCCCAAGTCAAGTGCCTGCCTTTATCTACCCACGCTGAGTTTCTCAGATGAAGAGCCCATCTCCACAAAGCTTGTCAACCCTGAAAAGAAAGCTGGCTCATTTGCACCGTGGTTTGGGGGTAAATAGTGTCACTATAAGCTAGGCATTTAAAAAACAGTAAGCAAAAGTTGCAAACAGCTGTACACGTACACTTACAGATTACACATGTCAACCCTGGGAGGGGACAATGGCAGTAGTTGAAGTAGGAGCTTTACTCCATTCTTCCATCCTTCCTCTTTCTCAAATTCACAGAAAAGGTAGGTACATTCATCCGCTGAGAACTGGTAGAAAGCATGAGTGTCTTGAAAATAGAGTTGTCTGTCCACTGTCAGAAAAAATAACATTAGATAGCTTTTAAACCTTTACCATGTACAGGTTCTGGGTCCCCACCTCATTCTGTGTTGCACTTTAATGGTGAGTTGCACCACCACACAGGGCAAAAGGATCGCAAACTCAGCATAGAAGCAATCCTGCCCTCTCGTATTGACTCAGTTCATCCAAACAGGACAACCCCAAAACCTCAACTTGAAGATCTCCAGGCTCCTGAAATGCAAACGTTAAGACTGCTGAGTATTTAACCAATTTTGAAATCAGTTCATAATTATGAGATTAAAACCTTCCACTTGTCAGATTTCTGAGCCTTGATTTCCACTGGCTTCTAATCTGTTGTCATCAACAGCCAGGCCCTAGTAAACAAAGTTCAGTAATGGGGATGCAGCCCATCATTATCCCATCTTCTCTTCAAATTCAGGGCTACTGGATTTGTAGACTAGATCTGGGTAAGATTATGCACAAGTCCAACAGCTGTCATCTTCCCTGGCATAACTGGGATTGAACTGGGATTGAAGGATGTGGTCCAAAGCCAAAAGTACAAGCTCCTGCTGGGAGAGTTATTCAGCCTTGTTGAGGCTGCATGATCAGACATACTGTCAGTGCAGCTAGATCAGAAGAAAACCTTTAAGTATATTGTCAGCATACATAAGCAGAAATCTTCCATAACACCTCACCTTTTCACATGGAGGAAAGTTAAGTGTCTAGCACAGACTCCAGGGTGGGGTATGCTCTGAGTTGAGCTACCTAAGTAGTTCCAGCTACAAAGCAAAGTCCTTCGGATTTCCAGAGCTTGGTTACCAGTGTAATTATCACCAACCACGTTGGCTGGACCAAACACCTAAATTTGGTGGGGAAGGTGGGGTGGCTGGGTAGAACCTAGAATCACCACTGTCTCAAGGAGCTGAATCCTGTCTCAATCCATTGTAATCTAAAACTATGAAAAACAGACAGAGGAAGGGCAAATCACTAATAGCTAGAGAAGTCATCTGGCACAGCCATGATCTGCAGTGACTAAAGAGCTGCTGTCTTGTGGAAAGACTTAAAAGAGCTTGAGGAGAAAAAAAAAATATGCTGGAAGAGACACACATGCTGTCTGCAACTTGGCAATAGGCAATTACATTTGCAAAAGCAAAAGGAAGGAAATTGCCTAAAAAAAAAAAAAAGAGATTAATCTTTGGTATTTATGAAATTAAAGGTTACAGACGTGAGCCTACTGAAGAGATAGTAAAACAAACAACTGTCAAGAAAAATGGCTCAATCAGCATTTTTTTTCTTTCCCTCCTTCCTCTCCTATCAAAAACATTAGTCTTATCCTATGCAGGAGAAACTGATAGCCTTCCTCATGCTAGAAGCACTATCAAGACTGACCTGATAATATAATGCCCATATCCAGGAGGAGCTGCCACACTCCAGCTGCTGTAGATCTGCACTTAACAAAAGGGCACTGCTCCAAAAGCCAGTCTACCAGTTCTGATCCAACACAGCTTCTCCTGAAAATAAGCAAAACATCACTTCTTACACCACAGTAAAATGCTCTTTTATAATAAAGAGCTGTTTTTTAAAGCTATTAAAAGTGAATCCTTTTGTTCAGCA